CTTATTTGTGGGACAACTAAAATCACCAGCTAGAGAACCCTTAAGTTATCAGTTTTATCTTCCTGGATCTCTCTCCCATATGGTTCTTCATGCAGCTCCTGGATATGAACCTCTTCCACAACCTCATAGTTTGATGTACGCTGATACCAATAATTTCTCTGAAGGGTTACAAGAAATGGAGAACCAAGAGGATGGAGTGTCCCACAGCGATTCCTATGAAGAAGATGATCCTTATTCTGTATCTGGATCATTGAATGATGAAAGTGTATCGGGTTACAGTTCTCAGGATTCTCCAACTAGTGCAAGTGGCAGTGGGGCAAGTGCATTTAGTGATCACAATGAAAATTTGGGTCCATTGATTAACCTTTCTGATTTAGACAATGGCCATAGAAATGAAATAGGCGACTCAAGAAAGAGTGAAGCTTATTTTAGTTCCAATGAAGTTAATGAACTGTTGTCTAATAGTGCTCTAGAATCATGGTTGAATGACAATCCCGCTTCTGGCCAGGATTCATCGGACATAAGTTATGTCCGCCGATCATTTGCAAGAATTTCAATTGGAGATATAGGTAGCAGAGTCAAACCTAAATCGCATACTTTGCTAGACCCTGCTAATGGAAGCGGCTTGAGTGTTGAATATATCTTTATAGCTGAGGTCTCAAGCACACCTCAAACTCTCGTCTGTGTTGAGGTTAGCTTCAAGAACTGTTCAACAGAGCCTATGTCAAACTTGTTGATGTTAGTCGAAGAGGGATCCAATGAAACCACAGAAACTGCAGTTCAAACAGTTATATCTAGGTAATGAGACTAATGATCTGTTCTCATTAGACCTTTCTTTGTTAATTGGTTTCCTAAACGACAGAACCTTCATGATTTATAATCCTCTATCCTTGTTAATTGGTTTCCTAAACGACACAACCTTCATGATTTATAATCGGTTAATGATGTTTGACCAATGTTATTTTTCATTCAATTTATTTAAATATTGATTTTAAAGTAAAAAATAATCTTTAAAAAAGAAAAATAAAACTTATTTAAAAACCATGTCAGAAGTTTTATAAAAAAAGAGGTGACTTGACTTTTTTGTTGTCACAAATGATTAGGGCAAAAAGCAACAGAAAAAGATATTGTTAAAAGATATAGTTTGACTGTGTGAATAGTGAAAGTGAAGTTTATTTAGGGACGCAAGGAGTATTACTTATTGATCAAACTTGACAGCTGCTTTTTGTCTGATTCATGTTAATGTGCAGTTCCTTAGACGATAATAAGGTGCCCTCTCTAGCTCTTATGGATGAGATTGCTATCCTGGAGCCTGGTCAGACGGCAAAGAAAATTCTCCAGATTCATTTCCACCATCATCTGTTGCCTCTTAAGCTCATTTTATGGTGCGATGGCAAGAAGCATATTGTGAAGTTGAGACCTGACATTGGATATTTTGTAAGACCTCTTCCAATGGACATTGAACTATTCTTGAGCAAGGAATCTCAGCTGCCCGGGATGTTTGAATATGCAAGGAGGTTAGTTACCAAATAACTTAAATTTCTAGGTTTCTTCTGTTTTTTTCCTAGTGTGTTTCTTTGATCCTTTACAACCTTCTATATGAGAATTTTGGATATTACAACTTTTGAAACAGGTGTTCATTCACTGATCACATCGAAGAGCTTGAACAAAATGCTGGTCCAGCCATGAAAGACAACTTCATTGTAATAAGTGAGGCTTTGGCTTTGAAGGTTCTCAGTAATGCAAACCTTTTTCTTGTATCTGTGGACATGCCTGTCGGGACCAATCTTGATGATGCATCGGGGTTAAGGTTAAGATTTAGTGGTGAGATACTAAGCAACTCCTTCCCCTGCTTGCTTACTATGACCGTTGATGAAGGTAAATGCTCTGAGCCACTGACTATGTCAGTAAAAGTCAATTGTGAGGAAACTGTATTTGGCCTGAATTTGTTGAATCGGGTTGTGAATTTTTTGGCTCATCCTGCTAGATGTTGAAACCTAGTTGCAATGTATCTTGGGAACACTCATCGCAAAAATGATTCTTTAACAATGATCATTGGATATAGGCTTGTCACTGTTCTGTACATCTGGGTTTGAATGGCTCAAGAGTATGCATTTATGTTTTGTCATATCTTTGAAAAAAATATGATCTTTGAGTGGATCTGCATTTCTGAGACTGCCCCCAAGCAATCTAATATAATACTTACTCTGTTTCATAATCTAATATTACAGTCACTTTGTCATGCAAAAGGGTTCCACATTTCATTTTTTGCTTGAGTCAAATAAGGTTCCATTTTCCTTTCGAGGAAGCAATTGTGTGGTTCATATTATTTCTCTTTTATCTGCATAAATTTCAATCACACAACACGTCAAATGTGGATACTTATTCTGGGCTGGAGGGAGTATTGTTGAGTCTCTTTTTTGGAAGTAACAACCTTTTGTGATGGGTAAATAGTAAAATGGAATTTAAACAAGTTTTTTAGGGGTAAGGTTTTATACATCTTGAGCCCCAATCCCTAAAGGAGTTGGAGTTGTACTCCCTCCGTCCTATATTGATCTTCCCACTTTGGTTTATGAGGTTTGACTGAAATTATTTTCAATTCAATTTATTCGACTATAGGTGTAAATAGTGACTGGGAATATCATTTTAGGACGGAGGGAGTATTACATTTTGTTGCTGTTTGACAAAAGAAGAAAACAGTCATTGCCACTTGTGGATGCCTGTCTGATTGGTGATATTAAGGCCTTCATGGGTTCTATTGGCATTTACAGATCATTCATGACTTGGTCTTTTTTGTTACAAATAGTTGTTTTATGCTGCATTCATTCCATAAAGAGTTTTGTTTCTAACACTATATTACAAATACATCTCTCTCTCTCTCTCTCTCTCTCTCTCTGGGGGGGGGGACAGAGAGAGGAGTTTCTATCTTTGGAGACATCCTCTATATTCAGGATACTTTTTGCACTATAAAGGCAAGAGGTATCGAAAGTCAGAAACATAGGGTTGAATGTCAATCATCTTAGCCAATGGTGATTTCTTCTCCCCTTCTAGGCACTCCATTATTAATCCCTTCAGTGTGCAAGAGTGTGGTAATTGGCTGTAAATCCATTCTATTAGTGACTCCATATCATCTGCAAAATCTTTCATATGCCACCACATCAGTTTGGGTACCATTATCTTCTTCTTGCTTGAAACCCCAACTGAAGCCTCCAAATACTCCACTTTTGCTCTCTCCAATTCATTCACAACATCATGTGTATAAATTCTCAACTGAAAATTCCAAGGGGGTAAACATTCATGGGAATATTAGTTTCGCACCCTTGTATTTCGTAGAGCATGCACACCCTTGAATGGGGTGCGAAGTCTCTCCAAAGTGATAAACTCTTGGTTGTTTCACTTGTTTGGTGTGCATGATCATATATTGGGTAAAACATGGGGGAACAAACAACAATTTTTCCAATGTTCATTCTAATACAACCTAAAACATGCAGAGCCTATTTGATATGGCTGAAAGCTAAGGCATTTAGTAAAATTCAAATTTAGCCTAGTAAACTAAAAACAAACAGGTTAACCATGAATATGTTTTGTGAAAAAACAAATACTTACTGCTGGTGATGACCAGCTGCCCCGGCAAAGCGCAAAGTTGATGTTTGGTTCTGGGTAACCCACACCATAAGCATTCCTCAGCATGATTTCCTTCTCATCTCTCAGGTCCTTGTGGATTGAAGTTTATTTTTTATTATCAACCACATTGGCACAGCTAAGAAGTAAGGACTATAGGTTCATTGGCAGAGTCAATTTTACTCACATATTCAATGTCAGTAGGATGCCTAAGGATGAAATGCTCAATGGCTAAGGCATTTAGCATAATTCCACCCACATTTATTGCAGCCTTTACCATGAACAAAAGAAAGAGCCATTTGTGAGTTCTAAACATTCTGATTGATGCCTCTCTGCTTTGAAGGCATTTACAAACACATTGACAATAATTTTCAGCTTTCTTGCTATGAATGACATAACTTGGCTGAGCAAGAATAGTGAATGAGAACGCTTGGTACCTTGTTCATTAGTGCCAGCTGATCTTCGTCTGAAAAAGGTAAACCGTGTTGCAGAAACACCTGGATAGAAGAGAGATGGCATTAACTATTCTTTCTTTACAAAGCATCTTGTTGATTTCTTTGCAAGTATTGGTATCTCTTACAGAGTTACAGTACATGCATTATGCAGGCGTTGTAGATGTTAATCCAGAAAGCTAACTTCTGCTTGTTTGCCAAGTAAGTCAAGTGTGCGTTTCCTAGTTTATGCAGCAAAATCCTAGAAAGAACAAGATTTTTTTTTACATTCCCGATGCCTAGAGAGTCCAGAAAATAATAGATCCTTTTTAGAGTAACTTATGGTATAAGTGCTTTACCACAAGTGTTTTTTCATTTAACCACTTAATTAAGTGCTTTTCTGAAAAACCCAGCCAACTATATGCTCCTTTCTTAGATATGCATCAAATGTGCTTGGGCAATCAGAGTTAAAGTTAAATAACCTTAATTTTCCAAACCAAATGCTCCTTTAAAGTTAAAAGTACTGTTCCTCATATAAATAACACCTATTTTAGAATAGATTCAATTAACCTTAATTTTCCCATCTCTGGAAGACAATCAGAAATATGCCTTGTGTCCATTGAACCTCTTGTGACTTGGATGAAATTTTTGTATGACCCAATCTGTGTGATGGTCCCATCGGCACCTTGCAAAATCCCATAGGGGTCAAGATTTGAAGCATAATTATCAAAGGAAAAGGTACATAATGTTGCACAGCTGATTGGAGACACGAATCTTTTGGATTTCTTGAGGGAGAGTGGCTGCAGATGCTTTGTAAGAACAGGTGACCCTCTGCTCTCGATTGATGCCTTGTTTAGTTTGACGAAAATGCTTATTAGACATTTTAACAGTTCTTCTGAAAGCTTATTAGGCTTCTGGGAATTGAACTGTATGTCTGGTTGATTATAGTTTCTCCTGCCTTGTGAACTCCTTGAGCTCTCCCCAAGTTCTCCTACACGTCATAAAAAACATAGTAACCGGAGACCCTAGCCATAATAAACAGATGTTTTGGGCGTACCCAGTGTACCTATCTACTTTCAAGTAAGGGTAAGATCTGTATACACACACGCACACACACACCCTCCCTAGACCCCCCTTTTGTGGGATTCTACTGGGTTTGTTTGTTTGTTGTTATGGGCGTACCCACACCCAGTGCCAAAGCTCCTATATACTAGTAGTTTTTCTCTCTCTTTTTCTTTTAGGCATAGTTTCAGAAGCTCCTTGAAATCGAAAGGTTGAGAAATGATAATGCCTTGTGTCAGATAGTACCAGTACTAGACATTGTGGAGGAAATGCTTCTGAGATCCACTGGTGAATGAAGGGAAGCTCTACTATTATTATCTCTTCTAATCCTGCACTTGACATATCCTTCACAAGTATGTGGCTTGATCTGAGGTGCACGTGAATCTGCAGGTCTGGGAATTAACATCTTCCAATGGCGGTAACGCCTCTCCCTTCTCTCTCTCAGTGCCTTCTCCTGAAACAGGTTAAGCTTCAAATCATCCACTTTTCTCTCCAGCCAGAAGATCTCTTCCTCAATACATGTAAGTTCTTCGATAAGTTTCTGCACCTGAAATGGAAAACAAAACAGTTTCACTGAGAAAAATTTGCACTCTTGCTCCTATGACTCCTATATTATTCTCACTCTTGGTCCCCGGCTTTTGAAGGACCCAAAAGTGAAGGAGTACATCTATGGATTTCTGTAAAAAAAAAAGTGAAGGACCAAAAGTGGAAGTTTTCTTGTTGAAGAGATAATTAGGAGTACAAAACAGTGTCATGCCATGGGAGGGAGGGAGGGACAAGTGGGGACGGCGGGGCATTGTAGGGCGGCATGAAGGGCAGTCCTCAGTTGGATCTGTCCATCTAACTCATGCCTCAGTTCCTCAACCTCTTCTTCAAGATTTCCCTTTCTGTCATTCCCTCTCTTCTTCTCCTCACCCGCCTGCTGCATCAACAAGTCTTCAAATTTCATCATTCATGGAAGAAGATGAAACATGCACTTCCATTTGTACTTGTGAAGGGGATGCCTTCATTTATATAGGTTCATGCCCCCCCCCCCCATTATTAGAGTGGGAGTGTTAGAAATCGTAAGGGATAAAAGATTCTGCATAAATCTCGCCTCCGCGTGAGGCGTATACAACAAAAGCCCGGTGGAATCTTACAAGTGAGGTATGGGACTCTATGTGTACGCAGACCTTGCGCTACCTATAAAAGGTGGAGATGATGTTTCTAAAAGACTCTCGAGTGGGATGTATTGAGCACATTTTGGTTTGGTTAATGTCATTAACAATGTTCTAAAGAGCGTTAGGTGTCTCTCACGCGATAGACTAGAGCCTAGTGTCTATGTGTACTTAGACGGGGATTAATAGAGGCCTGGGTGATCTAAGGGAAGGATAAATGCTACTCCCTGCATTTCATATTAACTGACCATTATGATTTTTCAGATTTATTGAAAAATAAATGAATGTAGGAGTAATTTACCTAAATAGGACTAAAACATAATGACTTTCTCAATATAGGATCATATGTTTTTATTTTCCAATGTAGGATTTTTAGTCATTATCTATTAGTCATTATTCAACTAAATGTCCAGCATCACTTGGACATTATTCTTCTCACTAGTCATTATTAAGTCATATTTGGGGAATAAAAAAAATTTAAATCTTATATTGGAAAATGACTTATGCTTTAGTCCTATTTACTGCAAATTTCACATTTTTAAAACACGGTTCATAAGAGGGGAGTAGGCATAGAAGAGGCAACAATTTCCCGTGCAACATGTGAAGCCTGAATAAATTCATTCCACTCCCATCCATTATACTCCCTGCCTCCATACAATAATTTTCCTACTTTCTTTCTTCATCTGTTTCAAAATGACTTCTTTCTGTTATAAAATGAGAGAAAAACTACTCAGAGATTAAGATAATAGATATAATATATTTCTGATTTCTTCTCTCTATTAACTCTTCACTCTTCTCTTATTCTTAATGGTGATTACAATGCAGGAATTAGGTCTCTATTTATAGTGGAGAGGCTTGGTATGAATACAAATACAAGTGGGAAGTACTGTACATAATTAGTGTTCATCAATTAGTGTCTTAATCTACTATTCTAGAAAGTAGGCCTGATTAATTGAATAAATGAACAATCATTAATTTCATAACACTCCCCCTTGAATGTTCATTTTTCAATTAATGATGGGTACTTCATAAATGGGCATAGTTTAGTAACCCATTCTAATTTTATGTACTGCCTCGTTAAAAACCTTGTCAGGAAAAACCCAGTGGGATAAAAACCTGATCAAGGGAAAAAGAGTACACTTCATAAAATTCTCCCCCTCAGCTTAGCATAATTGACGGAGGCGACGCATGCCAATCTTGTGTACGAGTTCTTCAAATTTCTTTGGGGG